TGAGAACATTTGGTTTAATCACCAAAACAACAGTAAGATATTTTTTCAACTTAGTACTTTTAACAATCAGTTCATTCAGTAGCAAACAATACAAGGTACAGGTTTCAAATCACCCTCGGTGCTGAATGGATGTTACTGTACACACTTACGTTCAGACAAAAGCTATATTTATAAATAAAAAAAAAAAAATAAAAAAAACACCTTTATGCAACATGAAAATGTGATCAAAGAACACATCAAAAGTCATTTACATACGCAAGCAAAAAAAGTTTTTTATTTTAATTTACAACAATTCTGTTATTGCATTTGAAAAACCCAAACAACAACCTGTAAATGTAGACCTGAAATTCACATTAATGATCAATTTCAACATTTGGCCATACATTTATCAACATCACAGTGAATGTCTTCATTGTTCAGGCACCGCGGGAAAAACCTTCTGGCATGACGAATCCAGGCTTGACATTGCTCTGCAGTTATATCACCACAAGCTTCATCCATGGCATGAAGAAGGGTGACATGCTCATGGGGATGGCGATCATACACCTTCCACCACCATGTAGAGAAGAATTCCTCAATTGGGTTGAGGAAAGGAGAGTATGGGGGAAGGTAGAGGGTCATGAACCGAGGATGTGCCCGAAACCATTCCCGAACCAGCTCTAAATGGTGGAAACTGACATTGTCCCACACGATAACATAGATGACATCTTCACCCTGACAGGCCTGCTCAAGCTCATTTAGAAAAGCTATGAGGTGTTCAGTGTTGTATGATCCTAGAACTGGTCTCCAGCCTACCACACCATCTTCAGATATAGCTGCACACACTGAGATGTTTCCCCCACGTTGTCCAGGCACTTGGATGGTTGCCCTTTGGCCAATAAGGTTACATTCACGGCGTCTGGTTTTTGCCAGATTGAAACTGGCCTCATCAACAAAAATATACTTGTGATGATTCACAGCAGCGTCCAGCTCCATCACCCTCTAAAATAATTATTTGGTTAGCTCTTTTACAAATAGTTGACATTGTTAGTCAGTACTGTAAATTGCATGTCATACAGTACACCAATTTAGTGTTGTACCGGAACATATTCTGAACGCAGTGGTTTCACCCGGGCATTGTTTCTCTCAAAAGGCACCAAGTTGACAATTACATGTTGTTCTTCTATACAGTAATGCCATTACTGTAACAGTACTATATTGTAAAAGTATAGTGAAGTTACTATAGCAGACTTACCAGTTTTCTTGGCAAAAAATTCTGATGATAGAGCTGACAGTTGACCTTTGTAAGTTACGCTGAACTAACCTGGCAGCCTCTGCCATGGTAAGGTCTCTGTTAACCACATGGTCAGCAATGATGGCCCGGACTTCATTAGAGATGATGGTGTGCTGTCTTCTGCCTACATTTCTCTGAAGACCACCTCTCTTGAGGAGCACCACCACCTCTTTGTCTTGGCCCACGTCCACCTCTCTGTTGAGGAGCACCACTACCGCTTTCTCTTGGTCCATGTCCACCTCTCTGTTGAGGAGCACCACCACCTCTTTCTCTTGGTCCATGTCCACCTCTCTGTTGTGGAGCACCACCACTTCTTTGTCTTGGCCCACGTCCACCTCTCTGTTGAGGAGCACCACCACCTCTTTCTCTTGGCCCACGTCCACCTCTCTGTTAAGGAGCACCACCACCTCTTTCTCTTGGTCCATGTCCACCTCCATGTTGAGGAGCACCACCACCTCTTCGATGCAGGTTTCCTCTCTCTACACTTTATGAAAGGCAGTTACTGTGAATGAAACATTTATATAGATGAAACACTTATTTTGTGTAGTGAAAAGGATATTTTGTGATTATGTGTATTGTACTAACATAATTGAAAATATGCAGAAATGTTTGAAAAAAGTGCAGATCTGTTGTGATATTAGTACTAAGAGTTTTGAAAATTTACCAATTGTTTGTGAAAATTGCGCCAAAGCAATTAAAAAAAAACTGTAAAAAATAATAATATTGACTGTCATACTGAATTATGTAATAAAAAGTCAATAATTTTTACAGCACATTCCATAAAAATGGTTTATTACTTTACTGTGTGCATTTTTTATCTAAGCAAACATGAGAAAGCACATCACATACCATTTTAGCTTATTAAAAATGTAAAGCTCTGCGGCAGAATGTTACTTTCCACCTTGTGCTGTCAAATAGGCTTTACTTTTGTAAAGAACACTTAAAGAGTGGAGCTGCTAAGGTTATATAAGCACATATCTTGTGCCCATCATTCTGGAACCAAAGAAGCACGTAGAGTAGATTAACTGACTGATACACTTCCTGAAAATCCTGACTGCTTCTGAATAGCTGCACATCCTGCACATAAACCACAGTTTAGGTTAATCTTGAATTAAGTTCTTCTGTTTTCCACCAAGCATCTCAATTAATTTTAGTGAACAGATTATATTTATGTGTGTATGTCCTAAATGTATTAGACTCAACCTTGAAAATATTTAAATCAAATACAGTTGTGAAACTCACACATCACATATACAAACTCTGGAGTCGGGGCTGGATTCACAAAACATTCTAAAGAATAAAAATCTTCTCAAGAAATAAGTTAAGATTGTTCAAAACTTAAGAATAATTTAAATTCTTGAAAAGAATCTTCTTAAAAATCTAAGTAAACAACTAAAGAATTTAATGAATTTATTGGGTTATTTCAAGAATTAGTGAATTTATTGGGTTATTTCAAATTAATCGTTGTAATTAAGCATTACAACTTAACACTATAGGTGCATGTAATACATAGTAGGACTCTGCACAAGTTTTCTGAAGTAACACCAATGACGGATAATGAAAACAATGATCAGTCATGATTATTTGTGAAGCGACTTCTTGGCAGTATTCAGAACATATGAACACACCTAAACACAGGACGCTTTTGCTATTGTACACATTACAGTAATGTACACATTACAGTAAAATGCAGACAGCGTAAAATAGGCAACCCTTGAAGTGTTTTTCATTGAGTTTATCAGCGAGATCATATCTTCAGCAAGAACAGACATTTATTCAGTCAAATAATGCTGAACGATCATTTTCTTCATAAGAAACAATTTTAAGAATATGTTTTGAGAACTTCTAAAGAATTGCACCTAGGAACATTCTTACAAACTTCTTGGAATTTATTTAATTTATGGAAAGACATTTCTTAAGAAGGCTTTTCGTGAATCTGGCCCCCAGGTCAATAAAAAGGCTCTTACTAAAACACCATACTGTCTATTAACTATTACGTAATCTCCTAGTTCTAGTGTCAGTGTATAATTTTACTGTGAATTATCTTCATATGAGGAGAAAAATACGGTTTTGGGAATTCAAAAAATAAATAAAAAATATGACTGATAAACTGACTCCTTTCTGATGTTCTCTACAGGGGTAAATCACATAAACCTACTCCAGCTTCTGAGCCTGTTGGGCCATTCCCCACCATCAGAGGTCACCCTCAATTGAATACACAAAAAATGCTTACAGTCCCAATTTCCAAACCTTTCACTAATGACTATACTCGTCTATGATGTGAAATGCAATAGGGAACAAATGTCTGTTTTACGAGTTAAAAACGACTGAGGACTGAGGCTACTCTGTTTGTGTAAAAAAGGTATGGCTCTCTACCAATGACCTGCTGCTTCAGGTGCCCGCCCATAAGTTGGCTCCCTGATTCGTTGGGCCAGAGCAGCTTTGGTTGCCCTATTTGATCTGTCACGTCTACCCAGTTGCACCTGTTCTGTCCGCTCTATATCTATGTTTGCTCTGCACCTCTTCAGTGTCAGGGTGTTTTGCTTGTTCTTACCTGCCCTCTGTCATTCTGTCAGTTCAGTCTTGTGATGATTGTGTTTGTTTTTCTACAGATTTTCTACTGTGTTTATGGAGATGACGAAAACATACAAGAAATAATAATTTGAGACAGCAATTTCTCACCAAATCTGACTTGAAAAAAAAATAATACTATTTAAATTTGAGGGAACACAAATAATTTTTTGTATTCACTGTATAATGAATTTCATTTTTTTAAACAAATAATCATCCTTGGGGCAGCTTTAAATCTGCTGTTGAGACTTTGATTCATTCTCTCACTTCTTTTGTAAAAGAGCAAAGACCCAAATATTGCATTCAGGCAGCTGTTAGAGAACATGACGAAATGCAAGAGAACTTGACAAACATGGTTATTTTAATATGAGTGAATTATTATACCTGTTGAGGCAGGTGACACAGGAGGACCAAGCAGAAAATGTTGGGGACTTTCCTTTATAAAGTACAAATTATTACACCACTACATGATAGTGCAGTTGCATTACAATATGCCGTAGATCACACATTATATAATGTTTTTTTTTTTTTTTTTTTTTTTTTTTTTTTTTTTTTTTTTTTTTTTTTTTTTTTTTTTTTTTTTTTTTTTTTTTTTTGCTTTATAGCTTAGTGTAACAAATAGGTCCACTTGTTTATAACAGTCCTCTAGGGATTTGTGTGAATGTCTAGTCAACCAAGAGTTAGTCCTTCCTTTTCTCCCTCTTCCATTGCAAAAGTTTCCACTGTCCATATGATTAAAAAAAAACAAATGAACCATGTTTCTACAGGCCTGTATGTCTTTGCCTTTGCCAAGACTGTCTTGAGGTCCTTCTTCAGTAATTACAATGCTAATGGCCATAGATTGCAGAAGACAGGTTCGAAATGCAAATGCCACATGTGATATGCTCAATGTGTCAGATCGCAACTACAGCCCTGTATGTTCATTAGATTGCCTACTATTTTCCACATTCTTGTCCTCCTCTATATAAAACAACCTTAAAATACATTATGTATAACATTTAAATGGATCAGTTATGTTTTACCATATTCAAAAAAGTAACTTAATAAATCTATGATCAATTTCAAATAAATGCAGCTTTAGCATCTTTTTATAATGTGAGGGGCATGATGTTTTAGATTCTAGAGGGCATTTGATTGGACAAGCTGAAATCAGAAACAATGACCTTAAGGCTAAAATATTCATATTAAATCCACAAGACTTCTATTTTGATTTCATGGGAATTTTAACAAACCCCCCTGCACCCCAGGGCGCCAGTTCTTTGTACAGAGCATAACATGATGTCTTTTACACGAGAGACCGGCAGACTCAGCTAGAAATGTTGTTTCATTTCAAGTGCCATCAATCATTTGAAGTGCAGCACAGGTGCAGTACCCCTCCTCTAAACACTTCACTCTCTTCACTAAAAAAAATACAATTTTAAATATCTGGCTTTTTAGATTCACACGAACATCTAATGAGCTCAGCTCAGCTTGAACATCCCTGAGAGTGGCATTTTGCTTGACACAGTTTTTATCACCCATTGTCCATTGTCACAGCTGGAGTGTAATTTCACTGGATAACAGGTTCAAAATGACCACAATTAGCACAAGAGCAAAGGTTGTAAATAAAGTAGGTTTATATAAATCATTATGCTTCAAGAGCATAATTATATATTAAGTAAACAGATTGATAAAATTACACTTAAATTCATTATATTGCCTTGTAAAATACACATCAAGAATGTCACGTAATCAACATCATAATTCCACCTATCTGATATACTGTACATATTACATATAATTTTTGTTAATCTTCAAACATTACTACTTTACTATACTTATAGTACTTAGGTCACATTGAATAAAATACAATAAATATAAAATGATTAGTAATGTATTATGTAAATAATGCTACATTTCTCTTTTAAGGTCTCAGGCTGAAGGTTTTTATATATACACACATATATATATATATATATAAAGTTAAGAAAAAAACATAAAGGAATGAAATACTTTAGCTTACCCACTTACTGGGCATTTCAGTGTGAAATATTAGAAACATTTCCAAATGTAAATTGAAGAATATTATCAGTGATGAGCGGTTATGTGAGTAGAACGATCTCTCTGGGTGTGTGGGATTCTGAAGTATTAATGGTCATCAGGGGCCTTCAAGGGTCATAAAGTCTTCTCAGGGCATTCCCATTTAAACAGCAGTGAGGAATCGGTCATCTGTGAAGAGTACATGTCATCAACAAGACGACTCTGCTCCTCAGTGAATGTGTTCTTCCAGTCTCCGACTTTACCTTAAAGATGGGATTGTAGTGTTTAGAAGATTAAAAACCTTGAAAAAAATGTAACTTAAAATAACCAACATTTTGGGCAGGACATTTCATGCAGGTTGTCTTTAAAATATTGCTTTTTTGAGTCAAAATATTGTTTCTACTCCATTTTCAATTATTTCACCATTATACTATATATCATCAAAAACGATTGTACCAATGATTAAAGCAAACAATAAAAAGGCATTTACATACCTGTCCTCATGAACTTGCCCTTGCTGTGGTCCATGATCTCCTGAGGGATGAGAGTGTAGTTCGCCATGGTATTTTCCTTCATGCTATTGAAGCTACAGTGCTTCTGAGCAAGGATCAGCTCATCCTCAGTTAAAGGACACTGCAGGAAACGACTCACTTTCTGAACAGACCCGTGAAGATCCTGATAATATTGAAAAATTGCAAATTGAAACTACTTGTTTAAGTTCATCTGTATGTGGTCAATAAAAATGAATGAATTCTTAAAGTCATCCTACCTGACACATTTCCTCATATGTGATGTAAAGAAAGTTGTGGATATCTTTTGCGTGACTAGTCCAGTCGTTGACATGGTCAAACCAAGACCCATAATGCACTGATGGGGAAAAAAAACACAATAAATTATTTAATGGGTTGTAAGGGAAATGAAAGTGGCTCAAACCCAAACTGGTAATACTAGTCTATCAACTAACCTGCGCCCTTCAGGAAATCATTCAGAAAATCAGAGAAAGTGCCTGGGTCAGGCAGAAAATTGGCCATCTTGTGGAAGTGATAGTATGAAACAGACACATCTTTGAGATTTCTGGCTATATATATAACCTGAGGAATGGCAAACATTTGTCACTTGCAAGAAAATTCAACCAAGAAGTGATAAAACTCAATTTGTGGTTTGCCCATCTACTCACCTTTGCTTTGGAGTGTTGCAGGGCCGGTGCCAGCAGCTGGCACGGCAGATGTGTAGTAATAATACGAGGCCCAGTAGAGGCTTTTAGAACATCAGCGCAGTAGTACTGCTCAAGCCATGGTGCACGGGCCCAGTTGGGCTGAGTTTGGGCAATAGTTGGGTCCCCTTTACCCAAAACTAGAGTGATGATTTCCTGCATCCATGTGGTTCCTAAGAATAAAGGAAAGTAATTCTTGAAAGGCATTAATAATAACTTGCTTGGAAAAAAGGTAGCTTACCATTTTAATTTCAATACATAACCTAAATAAAAATTGCCTAAAGATGAACACAGAAAATGCATTTCATTATTACCTGATTTTGGGTAGGTGACAATTACAGTATCTGTGTCCTGAAACTTGAATTTGGTCGCATAATTCAATGAGTCTTTAGTATGCATGTGCCCAGGAAACATGATGCTGTGAAAAGTTTCCGTGACATCTAGACGAGCCATGTCTGTTTGTGTGCAAATGCAAAATGAATATAGAACAGACAGTGTGATGATCTGACAACAGTGTTAAACTGTCAACTTATATATGATGGAAAACGGAAGAAGACTGATGTCACAAACCAATAAGTTGAAAGGGGAAGTACATAAGCAAGGGATGCAGAAATTACCTGAGAAACCGGTTACCGAGTAAATTCCATGTCAAACCCACGCAAATGGATTTGTTGTTTGCTATAATATATAATTTGCCTAGCAAAGTTTTTTTTATTTGCATATTGTAATATCATCATAGGACATTAATGTTGGTAGCTTGGTTTCCCTTTGACCTTGTTCATCTTTGACTTTGAGTCTTTTAAGTCGATCAGTGACAGTTTTATTCAGTGGCAAACTTAAAATACAGTTTGCTTATCTGATGACAAAAATGCATTTAATGGAGGCAATTGTTTATTTCACCTTTACATACTGTTTTCAACCCACACAAATGCAACTTATTTTCATTTTACTGAATCCCACCAGTTGCAAATGTATTTAAAAATCAGTTTCTAAAGTCTATAAAAGGGTTTGTTGATGTGGCTCATTTATATAAATTGCAGGTTGTTTGGATCTCATGTGAACATTGTTACATGGATGTGGTAATCATAACCAAAGCCATTAACTTCCTAGAAGTTCAAACCACCAGGAAAGTCCTCATATACGTCATGATTGCAGAAGATGGTCACCTCTGTATAATAACACTCAGTAAATAATATATGTTCCCTTTCATGGGAACTTCGAACTGCGTCCTCTAGGGGTCGCTATGGGGAACGCCTCGTCGTGACCCGTGTCTGAAGCATACATTGAAAAAACACCAACTCATTGGCCGGCGACAGCAATGACGTCACTACCGGTGCGACTATAGTATAAATAGGCGCCGGGAGCACACATTCTCTTCTTCGTCTTCATTGACTGTTCTGTTTGAAGCGTGCATTTCAAAGGAAAAAAGTAAGAGCTATCTCTTTCATTATGGCGAGCACTAGCAGAGCATTTAGAAGGTGTGTGCATCCATGTCATCGCTATTTGACACCAGATGACACACACGATCTATGTGTTGTTTGTTTGGGCGAAGAGCACGCACGCGATGTCCTCGAGGGGGCAATCTGCGCACATTGTGAGTTTTTTCCAATGAAAAAACTCCGTTCTCGTTTGTTTCTCTTATCGAGTAAAGAGGGGCAACCATCTGCTTCCCGCGGTTCAGGACCCGCCGCTGCTGAGGCACGGAGGAGAATGAGCTCGTGGGGATCTCAGGTGGACCTGGCCGATGAGTTTAAAGAGGGGCTTTCCCTCTCGCGCTCATCGGCAGCGGGCGAGAGACAGCCGCTGGAGGATGATGTTCTCTCTTTAACATCATCTGATCCAAGGGCCAGTGCTCTGCTGGGTTCAACCCAGGAAGAGCAGGGAATGGATGAAGAGAGCGAAGAAGCTGAGGCTGAGCCTTCTCAATCCTCCTGCCCTGCGTATGATGAGCTTTTAGAGGTTATGGATTTGCACTCCCCTCAGCATGGTGGCGTGGGTATACCGTTCCCCATAGCGACCCCTAGAGGACGCAGTTCGAAGTTCCCATGAAAGGGAACGTCTCAGGTTACTTATGTAACCATGGTTCCCTGAGTAGGGAACGAGACACTGCGCCCTCTAGGTTTCTTGCCATGCTGCGGACGCAAGCTTCAGACAAAGAAGTGAATGATGTGTGCTCCCGGCGCCTATTTATACTATAGTCGCACCGGTAGTGACGTCATGGCTGTCGACGGCCAACGAGTTGGTGTTTTTTCAATGTATGCTTCAGACACGGGTCACGACGAGGCGTTCCCTATAGCGACCCCTAGAGGACGCAGTGTCTCGTTCCCTACTCAGGGAACCATGGTTACATAAGTAACCTGAGACATTTTATATATGTTACAATATGTTGTTTCAAATTATTAACCATTGGTTTTTAAAGCATTGTTGGATTAAATGCAACAAAATAAAAGTAAACAGACTTAAATTAAATAAAGTCAACAAATTAACTAACTAAATAAATAGAAGTTTTCGAGTTCATAGTTTTAGAAATCAACAAACCTAAAGCAACAAGAAGCTTTTAACCTGAAACTTGCTGACCTTAAACATGATAACCTTAATGGAAAAATAGTCATGGTGAATCAACCAATGTGTAAAGTCTGATAAATGTGAAGCTTAAAATAGAGCAGTCTTGTGCTCAGTAATGTACTGTGGTCTGGGCCGTTCTTTGGGCGGTGCAACAAACCGCGCTTTGAGGGGGCCCCGCGACGAATGGACCGAGGGGGGCCCCACTCCCTACCTCGCACCGGGCCCCGTGTCAGCTAAGGACGGCCCTGACTGTGGTAAGTACACCATGGCACTGGTGACAAACACAAAAACACCTAGCTACGATGGTGCAGAAGAGTAATCAGGTTACACATTCATTTCTCTCAAACCGAAATTGATTTTTTTTTATGATTTTGCACTGCCTTCTCAAGTCATTATATATTGTGAAGTGATAACATATTAACAAGTATATCAAAGATTTCTTTTCAAATTGGTCTGCTCATTTATTGCAAGATTGGTGCATATTTTGAGAAAACAGGAAGCGCTATATAAAACATTTGAGGGGGGGAAAAATGCTGTATTTGTGTCATAAGCAGGTCAGTTTTGTCAAAGAGGATGTACAACTCACATGCAGAAAGATCTAGCAACATATACTATTTGTTTTCATGATTAGATGATAGCTCAGTTAGTCTGGGGAAAAATAATATAATTATGATTAAAATTCAGGATTATAGCACCCTGTTCTCCAGTCAAGGTGTTTTTTATTAACCAAACCCATTCCATAAACATCACTCTTTGGTTTTACATGAGCTTTTATTGCAAGTAAAAACCTTGAGGTGCAAATGCAGTATCAGGGAAAAAATAGGAATAAAAAAAGCCTCTTATAGCCTCTTCCAATAAGTGTGAATAAATTTGTCTGAGCAGAAATGTGTTATGAAATGGCTTTATGGTATGCTGACTTTAAAAGAAGGGTTGCTAGTTCTACCGTCACAGAAGCAAGCCATGAGTCATCACCTTTGTGGCCTTGACTAAGGTGCTCTGGATAAGGATTTTTGCAGCACTAACATTGCAACAACAGAACTGCAACAACAACAGCAGTGACCAAAGTTGCACCCTATACGCTTATTCTTTTATATAGTGAATGGCATATTCACTGCATGAGAAAGCGGTGAATAAAAATGAGTGAGCAAATTCAAAGAATGCAAAACATTTTGTTATTTATTTATTTATTTATTTATTGCTATTCAATTAGTTGAGAGCCTAACAGTGCATTACTGAGTGTTCATCCTAATGATTGAATGGGCCAGAGAGTGCACACAGCCCTCACATGGACTTTAAACAACAAAATGAAAAATTGACTGTACTTTTACACAATCACTTATATCACCTTTCTCTGTAATTAAAAATAAAGATGTGGCTTTTATGGGACAACTGTCCAGTTTATGGGACATTTTTACAACCCAAAATTATACATTAACTTATATTGAGCATTATTATGATGAAAATGTAATCCCTAACACTGGTCTTTCAACCTTAGAGTATCTCTACACATAATCAGAGAGAAAAGAAGATAAACATCTGTGGATCTAAGCAGTAATCTGAAAACAAGAAGAGCTGAGATAGGTAGAGTTATTTGAGGAGAAATTCATAATTAAAGGATACAGAGTGGGTAAACAGTGTTGTGATGATGGATTGGGTCAAGACTGTTTGTTTAGTGCTCTGGGCTTTCACATTCAGCTCAGTTGCAGATTATTTAAAAGAGCAAGCCCTGAAACTGATGGCTGACACTCCACTTATAGATGGGTAAGTCAATCTATTTATCTACACTGTAAAGAGAGAGAGAGAGATAGAGAGATCTAATGGATAGGAAAGTGAAAAAAAAGTTTTGAAACATTTATATAAACAAGATATTCAACGTTAATCATAACCTTAACATAACATAACATAACATAATACCTTGTGGCAATTTTACTTCTTAGGTAGCCTAAAAATATTTTTTTTTTATGAAAAATGAGATCTCTAAGTTGAAATGTCATGATGAAATATGTGACCCTGGCCTGGCCCACAAAAACAGTCATAAGTGTAAATTTTTCGAAATTGAGATTTATACATGTCTGAAAGCTGAATAAATAAGCTTTCCATTGATGGAAATTCCAATTCCATTGTTTGTTAGGATAGGACAATATTTGGCCGAGATACAACTATTTGAAAATATGGAATCTGAGGGTGCAAAAAAATCAATATATTGAGAAAATTGCCTTTAAAATTGTCCAAATGACGTCCTTAGCAGTGCATATTACTAATCAAAAATGAAATTACAAAATATCTTCATGGAACATGATCTTTAATTAATATCCTAATGATTTTTGGCATAAAAGAAAAATGTATAATTTTGACACATACAATGTATTTTTTGTTATTTCTACAAATATACCCGTGCAACTTAAGACTGGTTTTGTGGTCCAGGGTCACATATATACTTTTAAATGGAATATTGTAGTGTTTATTATAAATGTTTTATCTGTGCATAATGCATATTATTATTATTTTAAAGTCATGTGCCCTCATAATCTTTAAATAAAAACATTGTTTATATAAACAGCACTTTCAGAATCTGAAATCAGATTGGATTCCTTCTCATATATGAAAATTGGTGCATGTCCTTTTTAAAGGGTACTGCACCAGTGACCGCTTACATTTTTTTCTGAAATTGTAAAAGGAAGGAAGAAATAGGAATAGAAAGTGTAATTCACAGTTACTTCAATTTTCAAGCAAACTTTCAATGTTTTTAATCTCATTATTATCTCTGATTCTATTTGAAAGTGACTTGAAATCTTTTATAAAACAGGCACAATGACCTTCCCTGGCAGATGAGGAGCTTGTTTAATAATCAGCTCAACACGGTGGACTTGTACAAACTAAACACCACACACACCAACATCCCAAAAATCAAAGAAGGG